TTTTTTTTTTTTTTTTTGTTGGCGTTTTTTTTTTTTTTTGTAACATGAGTTTTATTAACTCTACAACTGGCTTCAATAAAAAAATCGAAGTTGACTACATTATGATAACTAATTCTTAATTGATTATGCATAAGATTAAATTTATTTTTAAACATATTCTTTCTGGCACTAAGCATTTATGAAATAGCATTTCCATTAGTATGAGACCGCACACATACTGTGTGAGAAAAAGAGCCCCATACAACCTATAACTCCAAATATTCTTTATCGTTATGCAAAGAAAAAGAAACTGTTTATGTCTGCTAAACCACATGTTCCCTAATAGTATTGGTCTATATCATTATTTTTTATGTACAATAACTTGAACAAGAATTAAGTATTCAAATTAGACCCTTACTTTTCAAAAATCAACTTTATCATCTTGCGTGAAGTTTGTGGGCATACTATTCCAAAGGAGAAGCTGATTGATGCATTAGAGAGAACTATGAAGGATGAAAAATGGATGATCACAGCATAAGTGAGACAAATGGCCTTTGGAATTGGCTTAATGACAACACGTTTAATTACTTGTTAGCTTTTTTCTATGATGTGTTGAAACATGAAGTTCGAATAGAATAAAAGTTGCAGATGCATTGTCGCACTTTGAAGTGGCGACACTTGACATTCACCCAAACACGAACAAATATTTACCAGACGATTTGGCCTATGACGAAGGCAATGCTCAGTTCAGAAAACGAGACCGACGTGATGCCAAGACTGTTTGTGATGTCATAATAAGTCAACTGAAGATCCCGGCACTTGGTAAACCCTCGTGACCTTTTAGCTTTTTTGAACAACAACAGACTAGTCAATACATTTCCTGAAACTTTGAAAATGATAGAAATTGTACTTGTAACTCCAGTGGCCACTGCAGAATTGGAGCGATGCTTCAGCACTCTCAAGATAATTAAAACTTTTCTCCAGAATTCAGTGTTTCAGGACAGATTGATTGCACTTGTCATTTTATCCATTCATAGATAACTAATCAAGAGCATTCCAGAGTCTATCGCTAAGGTTATCGACCTCCTTGCCGCGCAAAAAAATAGAAGGAGAGAGAACCTTTACACTTTAATGTTCAAGGTAATCTTATTCGAAAATTTCAACAATATTAAAATTTTTATTTCCTAATATAGCTACACTTACATATAAGTTAATAGGTCTATGAATTTTGTTAATATTATATATATATGTATAAACTATGATACATCATACGCTCTACTATATACACATATATTACTTCTAAAATTAGAAAAAAAATTATAATCAGCCTCTACATTTTACATTCGCCCCATCTGCCTCAAAGGTCACGAACCGCCACTGGCTACCCTCATGAGCAGAGTACCATATATCGATGACATAAAATGCTAATAGGTTTGTTTGTTTGTTGTAAAGCAGAAAGCTATACAATAGGCTGTTTGTGCTCTGCCCACCGCGGGTATCGAAACCTGATTTTTAGCGTTTTATGACAACTGTCTTACTGTTAATCCAATAGGGGACAAAATGCTAACAGGAACAAAATGCTGTTTGAACAGTTTGTCCAGTCTTCTACTTTTAATGTAAAAGAAACTTAGCTGATAATTTATTACTTTTTTCTTTGCCATTATATGAGCATAACAACCTAATTTATTAGTCTCATAGCGTCTGATATTCAAAACGTAAGTTATCAAGCAACTTATATCACAGCTTATTGAAATTAAAATTACTTCTAAATGTATTTCAAGTACCTATAAAAGATTGCTTCTTGCAAATCCACTTAATATTTAATAAATATTTATTTTAACTATCGCCCTCGTGTGACTAAATTCTTCGTTATGTATGTCACGTGATTTTACGTGGCTGTCATGTTACTCGCCTACTTTTTTATAAAATTGTTAATAGTTTATCACTGAAACATTAGAATTGAATTAGAAAGAAGTACTGTTTTATGGAAGTCGCGTTGTTGGATTTAATAAGAAGTTTTACTTGCAACACATTAAGAAAATTGAAACGTGCAAATAATAGTCACAGATTTCTGGGTTCTAAATAGGACATAGTTTATTACGACCTTAGTTCAATAGTTGGCTTGTTCTACTAAAATTATAAATTCCTTATTTTTAAAAAATTAGTAACACTGTTAATAGTAATACTAATAGTTCAAGTTCAAGATGTGGAAAATTCGAGAAATTACTGATAAAGTGTAAGTTTTGTTTTGTTTTCAAAATTTAATGTTTGGCTGTAAAATTTTCATGTGTATTATGATACTGATAATACCATTGATTTCCGAGAAAATATGGCGTAACTTAATTAGCTTAGTATTAGTAATTATTAGTAGTGCTACTACTACTAGTTAGTGTAGGGTTACTCTAACGCTCATGATGTGGTGTGTGTGGACTATGGCCCCAGTTAATACTGTTTGCTATCAACTTGACCTAAGAAAGCCAAGTTTTAAGTTACAGTAGTACACATACGCAGCCAGTGTAGAAGATAAATTCCAAAACCATGTTGAACATTGTGTGTTATGTACATTTAATTATAAATGTTTGTGACCATTTGTTGGAATATAGGCCTGTAGGTTATACTGAGGTTAATTACATTAAATTTGTAAATTGTTTAATTGAAACTGATATTTTTATTCATTGTCTCTTAAATTAAAGATTCTCAGAGAACTATAGTTCTTGGCCACGAAAGTTTCAGAGTACAAATATTTAGATCTCTCATAATCAAAATACTGAATTGTTGTACACCACACAACAAATAATATTAAAAAAAATGTCTACAGTACTATTACATGTTGAGTTTGCACTGTTTATTTCAATACAACTGTATTCTCACTAGTTGTAACTCCATTATAATAAGATTTAAGATTATAATAAGATCTTTCCTAAGATAAGGAGCCCAAGACTGAACACAATATTTCAAATGTGGCCTAACCAGTGACCTGTACAATGAAATTATAACCTCTTTAGACTTGTATTCAATATTTCTGTAGATACAACTGAATATCCTATTTGTCCTGCCTCCAGCAACAGCACATTACTTGGATGACTTTAGGGACTGATTGAATACTACACCAAGATCCCTTTCTTTCTTAACGCTGTTAAGGTTATTCCCATCCAAATTATGCTTATAATTGAAATTATGCTAACCCACATGCATTATCTTGCATTTATTGTAATTAAAAGCCAGCTGCCATTTATTTGCCCGACTCACTAAATGATCAAAATCCTTTTGTGAATCAGCAGTGTCCTCTTCACAGCTAGCAACACTGAAAACCTTAATATCAACCACAAATTTAAGTAATTTATTGACTATTCCTTTATCTAACTCATTAATGGTAAATCAAAAAGAGCAAAGGTCATAAGACTGAGCCCTGAGGTATCCCACTTGTGACATTAATCCAGTTTAACTGAACTCCATTCGTAACAACACTCTGCTTTCTTCCACCCAGCCACTCTTCTATCCAATTTGCTAATTTATCCCCCACACCTATAGAGATAATGTTTTTATAAGCCTTTTATGTGGCACCTTGTCAGATGCTTTCTGAAAATCCAGATACACAAAATCTACACCCTTACTCTCATCTACTTAAGCAGTAACCTTTTCAAAGAATGTAAAAAATTTGTAAGGCAAGATTTTCCTCTAGTGAAACCATGTTGACTATCCAATAAAATTCTTAATTTTGTTAACTCTTTCAGCATCGGCTCAGTCCCTA